GGGGGAGGGGGTGTGGCTGTGTGTGGGGTGTGGCAGTCCCTGATTGGAGCCTGCCCTGCCATGAGGGGGCTCTTGGGCACTGTCCTTGGTACCTTCCCCAGGCCCTTCACAGCCATAAGGATGCGCTGGACACTGGACATTCTCTTCTAGGGTGACCCAGGGAAGGACGGAGTGGGGCATCCAGGCCTCCCCGGGCCCCCTGGACCCCCTGGACCTGTGGTCTACGTGTCAGAGAAGGACGTAAGGACACTGCATGGTGGATGCTCCCTGTGCCCAAACAACACTCCTCCAGCTCCTGATGTGGCCATGTTGTGACCTCCAAGTGAGGGCCAGAGAGGCTGGCCTGGTCAGAGCTGCACACAGGAGCCTGCACTCTGGAGGGGGCGGTTTGAGTGGCCTGAAGAGAAAGGATTTTAAGGCTCCATCTGGGTCACTAGCTGTCTTTGACACTTAACCCCTACACAGCAGTAGCCCATGCACCGGCCTCATGGGAAAAGTATAGACTTCCCTTATTCTTTGGCCAAGGGCGGTGTCGGACCAGAGCCTTCCACCCACAGCACCAAGGCTGCTGGGTGTCTTGGCCGGCATAGCTGCCAGTAGCTTGTCTGCATGTGCCCTGGCTCCCGGTGCAGACATGTCCCCTCCCAGCCCCACTTCACAAAGTGAGGTCCCTAGGAAGTAATGTCCTGTCACCTGAGAGGCTTTCAGGCGAGACAGGAGAGTGGAAAGCCATGTTTCCTTTTAATGTCACACTGGTGAGGTTTTGCTGGTTACACAGCAGTAGTACAGTGAGAGCTGAATTTGTTCTAAATGTCATTTTCATCTCTTGCTTTCTCGTTTCTGTCTACTCCTAACAGAGCGCAGTGGCCAGTGTGCCAGGACCCGAGGTATGTGCGTCTCGTTTCTAGGAAACTCCTACGGGTGAATCAGGCTGCATCTGTGGGTGGGTCTAGGGGTATGTCTGAATGGATCTGGGGGTGGATCTGGGCAGATCTGCGGGTAGACCTACAGGTAAATCCGAGTAGATCTGTGGGTTGATTGGTGTGGATTTAGGGGTGGAGCTGGGTAGATCAGCGGGTGGATTGCGGTGGATCTGAGGATGGGTCTGGGATGGACTGGAGTGAATCCTGGAGTGTCCAGGAGTGGCTTAGTGGAAAGCCTGGTGTTTGCTGAACCTCGGAGACCTGAGGCTGATGTTGTCTTTCCTTTGCAGGGCCGGCAGGGGTACGCAGGCTTTCCTGTAAGTGGCCTCACTGCAGGGTGGTGGACCTGGCTGCTGGGGAGAGGTCTTCTCTATGTGCACAAAACAACTGAGCTGGGTGGGCCTTGTTAGAACTGGGGTAGGACAGTCACTATCCTCGAGGAAAGGATTTTAGCAGGATGTTGGCAAGAGTACCAGGTGGACTCAGCAAGGATGAGGGGCAGCAGCCAGGGCCTTGTAGGGGGTCTCATGTGGGGACCTAGCCAGGGCCCTCTCTGCCTGTAATGGTCAGGACCATGTGGGACCAGTGTGTCAGCAGAGAGCAGCATGGGGCAGGGTGTGAGCATCAGGACTGGAGACACTGGACCCCTCATTTCTACCTGGTCTCCTTTCTAGGGACCTGCTGGGCCGAAGGGTGACCTGGGCTCCAAAGGCGAGCGGGGCTTCCCGGGACCCAAGGTAAGGAGTGCTGGCTCCTGGCATTTGGCAGAGACCAGAGCCCACAGGCTCATGCCCCAACCATAGCTAGCACTGAGATGCACTTTTGAGGGGACAGTCCCCCTTTGTGACCCAAGGATAGTCCTGTTCTCCCAGGAGCCCCAGGGCAACCAAAGATGTCACTCTTTGAGCAGAAGGAGTGACAAGTTCTAAGCTGGGCTGTCCTATGTTTCCATGAGAGGGCCCTGAACTGCAAGGTCCAGATTATAGGCCCCTCTGGAAGGACAAAGGCCCTGCCTTAATATGTGCCTATTCTTGGGTCTTCGGTGTGAGGCCCTGGGGATGGGATGGGGGGGACACCTGTGTTTGTGAGGCTACTTTCTCTGCCCACCCCCTGACCCCTGCCATTCTAGGGTGAAAAGGGTGAACCTGGCAGTATCTTCAGTCCTGATGGCAGAGCTCTGGCCCTCGCCCAGAAAGGAGCCAAGGTGAGGGCAGGTGGGGTGAAGACACCGCTGCAGGGGGTTGTCTTACCAAGAGAAGTCAACTTTGATGTGCCTAAGCCTTCCTGAGCAGGGTTCTGGAGCCTCCTGTAGTCTAGGCCCTCGTCGCCCCTCCCTGTCTGCTATCTCTCCTCTCCACGTTGGCGTACCTGCCTGCTCAGAGCTGATGTGACCATGCAGGCCTTTCCCCTGCCCCTGTTGCCTGAGCCCACCCTGCAGAGAGGCTGAGGACCCAGTGGGCTACAGTGCTGCAGGTGATGAGATGCCCCAGACCCACCCAACTCTTATGCCCTGCCTGCTGTGGCCACCCCACCTTGACCCCCGTGGTGCCTGCAGGGGTGTGAGCAGGTCCAGGTTAGGAGTGGGTTCTATGAAGGGCCTGTGCCCTGGGTCCTAGTAGGCTTCTCTGTGGGACCTGAGGAAGAGCTAGACCAGATCAAGTGGCTGTAGGGGTGATCTCTCAGGTCTTCTGTGGGTGCCCAAAGCCCTCCAGCTTAGTCTGGGAGTGGGCAAGGGTCATTGGATATCAGACCCTGAGGGGACCCTGCTGGCTCTGCCTGGTTTCACAAGTCAGAGGGACCCAGGTGACTTCAGCTGGGCACTGCATGGGCAGGGCTCCATGCCTCAGGGTGCCAGGTGTGGACGGTTCATGCCTGACCCAGACCTAAACCCTATTCCAGGGCCCTCCCCCACTGACCTTTCCTGCTTCCCCTGGTATCTGTGGCCCTGAGTGCTGCCCAGGGTGTCAGGAGGTCACAGGGACACTCAAGGGGCCTTCGGGTGTTGCGGGGGGAAAGACCACCTGACGGTGCCTTCTGGTTTCTGTTCAGGGAGAGCCAGGCTTCCGAGGACCCCCGGTGAGTAGGACCTCTGCAGAGGACTCATGGGCTGTGGTTTGCAAGGACACTGTCACCTTGCAGGGCTGCTGAGCTGTGGGGACTGGGTTTATGTCCCAGCTGCTCTTCTGGGCCATGTGGGGGAAGTTTTAAAAGGGGGTCACCTCCTGGCCTTGGGGCCCCTCTGCTCACTGAGCGTGACTCCTCCTCTGCAGGGTCCATACGGACGGCCTGGGTACAAGGGAGAGATCGGCTTCCCTGGACGGCCGGTGAGAGCGGGGTCTGGTCAGGATGCAGTACTCTGTGGGTAGCAGCTTTGCCCATGGGGTCAGGTCAGAGGGAGGGGGTGCCACCCCTCACACTCCCAGCACCAGCACTGCCTGAGCAGGCTCCTCCCACATGACCAAGGGAATGCCCTGGACCTGATATGGAGACCCAGCCCTGGAGGGCCCTGGTGGGGACTGTCACCCCCCCCACCCCCAGGAAGGACCTTGAGCAGGGAGAAGGGGTGGAAAGGCCAGAGCAGGCTGGTCAGAGCTTCCCAAGGACAGGGGCCAAGCCCAGCGGGGAATGATGGGGCCTCTTAGGCCGGTGCCCATCAGGTCCCCCAATGGTATTCTACCCCAGGGCCGCCCTGGCATGAATGGATTAAAAGGAGAGAAAGGGGAGCCAGGAGATGCCAGCACTGGATTCAGCATGAGGGTAAGCATTCTGCAAGGGGCAGTCCCGGGTGGGCGGGATGGCCAGGAGGCCAGGACACTTAGGACCCTGAACAGCCTGGCTGGGGCCTTGGGTCCCACGGTTCCTCTGTCAGTGGCTGCTTCAGAGTAGCCCAGTGGTGTGGCCATGCTGCACTGGTCCTCATACACATGCATGTGTATGAAGGCAGCTGATACACATGTGCCTGTGCATGTCAGGATCAGCATGCCCAACAATGCACATATGAACACAAGTGCTTTCATGAAAGCACATAATCATAGTCATAAGTGTGTACACGTGTATGTAGGCAAATTCATAGACATAACATACACTTGCACACTTCTACACACTCATAGACACGCACACATATGCACACTTGTACACATGTGTGCACACACACATACACGACTCAAGCCAGTGTGGCTTTCTCAGTATCTGTGGCTGCATATTCTGGTAGGCCCCCTTCCCAGAGTGGTCTCTGCTCAACAGCGTGTTATACTCACGGTCACTTGTAACTCAGCTCTCTGAAGGGCCGGGGTTCATTTGGTAAGGTCCGTAAGATGGGCATTTCCCAATTGTTCTCTCCCAGACTCAGGAGATCCCCCGATGCAGCCTGGCCCTGCCAGACTCAGGAGTTCCCCCGATGCAGCCTGGCCCTGCCAAGCTCACCTGCAACATGGTGCCCCTGGCCCTCGCCTGCCCTCGCCTGTCACTCCATGGTGGGGTGACACCATGGCCCTGAATGCCAAGGACATTGCAGGCCATTCCCACTGCCAGGGTTTTTGTCACCATTGGTTCTTCATCAGGCCTGGCTCCTTCTTAGGAGCTAAGCCTCGCTCTCAGTGCCGGGAATTGAGAGCTGACTAGTTCGGCAGGGCTTTGAGTAACGATCTGTGGATGATATGTCACATGTGTCTCAGGGAAAAAGACAGGCTCTCAGCTTTGTTCTGGGCTTTGACCTTACAAGTGGGCCAAGGCTGTCTTCCTGGCCCTGAGCCGGGAGCAGCAAACTGCAGGTCTCGTTCTGCCGAACCTCCTTGCCAGGACCTACTTCCTCCCTGGCCACAGTCAGAAGGCTACTGGGGACATCATAGGGACAGCCAGCCAGGTGGTGCCAGGGGAAAGAGGCATAAACTCAGGCCTACCTGAGGCTACACCTCACCCAGGGCACCGTTTCAGGGTGCCTTATGCCTGCAGACAGCCCGAGTCATCTGCTGCGTCGTGCCAGATAAGTAAGCAAATGGACAGAGGTCAGGGCTTGGGGACTGCCTCCTGGACGGGCACGGATTTACTGAGGATAATCAAGGGGTGGACATGGCAGTCAGTCCCCTCCTCCCTGAGGACATAGGGAGGCCCAGTCCCTGTCCACAGGCAGCCGATGCTGAGTGCAGACATATGTCAGTCACAACCAGCTTTCTGATTCCATGGACGCAAAGAAATGCTCTCACCTGCACTGACGCACTGCCCGCGGCCCGGCTGTGGGCCTGATGACTAGCTTTTTGTTCCCCCCTGCAGGGAATGCCCGGACCCCCAGGCCCTCCAGGACCCCCAGGCCCTCCTGGGACTCCTGTCTATGACAGCAACGTAAGTAGCCACAGCAGTTGCTGCTCCTGTAGTCTTGCCATGCTTCCTTACACAGAGCCCTGAGGAAAGGCTGCCGCCTTCCTTCCCTTGGCTGGCCACTGCACCCCGTGCTTCCTTGAGTTGGCTGCCTGGAGGGTAGTGGGTAGGAAGGCCTGCAAGGGGTGCTCTAGGCCTGCCATGGCCCCCAGCATCTGAGCCCAGAGGCTTGTAGCCTAGCAAGGCCTGTGACTGTGAGGACCAGGCCCACTGTGGCTCCTGGTCCCTCCCTTCCCTCTCCCCATGCTGGAGTGGTACACATAGGGGCCAGGGCTTCTGGGCTTGAGGGCCTCTAGGTGGGAGGTGGCCTTGGTCTCCAGAGCACCGTCTCCCCACTCTTGGCCCATTCTTGTAGGCCTTTGTGGAGTCAGGACGCCCTGGGCCTCCAGGACTGCCAGGTGAGTGCTCCCAGAGGGAGAGGGGCTCCCAGAGGGAGGAGGGCTCCCTGGAGAGATGAGGCTTCCAGGGAGAGGGGCTCATAGAAGGGGAGGGGCTTACAGGGGAGGTGTGCACAGGGCAGGGGCTCTTGCTGGGCATTCATTGATGAACCCTAGGGTATCTGCTCCTCCAGGGTACCAGGGGCCTCCTGGAGCAAAAGGTGACAAAGGAGAAGTGGGCCCACCCGGACCACCAGGTAAGCTTGCTGGGCTGTGTGGCCAGCCCCATGGACCAGCATCCAGAGCCCTTAGATGGGTCTGGGACCTTGGTGTGTGGGAATTACCATCTTACCTTCCTGGAAGAAGGAAATTCTTTCCTGGCTCACAGAACCATTAGGGAGCCTGGAGTCAGGGATGCCTGCTGCCTCACACCTCAGGACCAGGGCCCAGAAATGCTGCAGGCCAGCAGCCTAGCAAGATTTCCTCATCACCCCACTCCTGAGGAACCCGGTGTTAGACCCAAGTAGGCACCTCCCAGGGGAGACAGGAAATCCCCATGCATTGGGGTCCTATGATGCCCACACCCGTGGTTGGTCACAAAGAGCACTTGGGGTGGGGTTGGCACTGGAGCCCTCTGTCCAGGGCTGCACGTAATAGGGTCTTCCAGGCATGAACTCTCTTCCCTGTGGACAGTAAGAGGTCCCTGCTGAATTCTACTGCACTGCAGATGGATAGGCTGGCATCCAAGCCTGCCTAAGCCTGTCCAGGAAAGCTGATGAAGCTGGAGGTGTCTGGGAGCAGCAGGGCAGAAACCCAGAGCACCGATACAGGCAGCAGGTGTCCCTTTACTCTGAGAACCAGCAGGGCCCTCCCAGGAGGTGGGGCAGGGCGATGCTCTGCTGTGGTTGAGGAGTGGATCTGCAGGTGGAGGCTCAGCCAGTCAGTTATCTTGAAAGCCTGCCTGGGGCACAACGGATCCTGGGAAGCAGACGGGGGCTGTTGTCCACCATCCGCACATTAAGCCAGGGCCTGCTGGAGAAAAGGTGGGCAGAGTGACCAGGCAGGCCACAGGCCAGAAGGAGGACCAGCGCAGGCAGGCTCACAGAGCCCAGCTGGCTGGTGTCAGATCTGGTGTCAGCCTGGTCGTTGTGCTCACAAAGTGATGCCTTTGTGCTCACAAAGTGACAAAAATGGGAGATGTCAGCTGGCAAGTTCAGAGGAGGGTGGAGTTTACTCCTAGGGCCAAAAATGGAACAGTTGGGATCAGGAATGCTGTGTGCAACCAGGCAGGTGAGACAGCCGAAACCAGCAGACATCTAGGCAGAGGTATGGGAGGGGCAGGCAGTGCATAGAGAAGGGGACACACACGTCACTAGAGAGCCAAAGAGGGCACCAGTGGTAGCAGCGTTCAAAAGCAGAGTGGCCAGCCTTTCCAGAGCTGAGGACAAGTCCCCTATGGGATTTACACGCAGACCAACGTGGTTTTCTTGGCAAGAATGAGCAGGCAGAAGGCTGGGAATGGTCTCAAGGCAGCCAGAGCACAGGAGGGAGAGCAGTTCAGGCGGCAACCAGGGATGAGACCCCACCCAGGCTGAGGCGTGAGATACCCCATTGGACTGAAGTCAGGAACACCTGCCATGACCTTAAGGAAGGGCTGAGGACAGAAGGCAGCGAGCTCACACACAGACATGTGAAAACCAAAAGGAAAAGATGTGGAGGCAAAGGCAGTAGTAAGGGAGGGGATGGAACACACAGGTGGAGTAATGGGGAACAGGGAGCTGAGCAGTGGATCTAGCCCAAACCCAGACTGGAAAGTGCAGTGGGAAGGGAAACTGGGTGTGTGTGCGTGAGAGTGTTGGTGTGCAGTGTAGGTGTGTTAGGGTGTGGCATGCTGGGGTATGTGTGTATGTGTGGAGTGGGTATATGTGTGCAGTGTGTTGGGATGTGGTATGTGTGTCCATATATGTGTATGTGTAGTGTGTTGGTGTGGGTGCATGTGTGTAGTATACTGGGGAGTGGTATGTGGGTGTGCGTGTGCCGTGTTGGTGTGGGTGCATGTGTGTAGCATATTGGGGAGTGGTATGTGGGTGTGCGTGTGGTGTGTTGGTGTGGGTGCATGTGTGTAGCATACTGGAGAGTGGTATGTGGGTGTGCGTGTGGTGTGTTGGTGTGGGTGCATGTGTGTAGCATACTGGAGAGTGGTATGTGGGTGTGCGTGTGGTGTGTTGGTGTGGGTGCACGTGTGTAGCATATTGGGGAGTGGTATGTGGGTGTGCATGTGGTGTGTTGGTGTGGGTGTATGTGTGTAGTATATTGGAGAGTGGTATGTGGATGTGTGTGTCTATATATATGTGTGTGTGGTGTGTTGGGGTGTGGTATGTGGATTTGTGGGTGTATGTGTGCAGTGTTTTGGGGGTGTGGTATGTGGGAGGTGTCCATATGTGGGGGTGTGTGGTGTGTTGGGGTATGTGGATATTCAAACAAATTACCCTTGAGTGAAGAAACATTGCCAGAAATAAAGAAGTGTTTGTCATGATAGAAGAGTAGTCCACCAGGAAACTCCTGTAATGCTAAATTTCCACACATCTGATAACAGACCCTCAAGATATAAAAAAATAAAACTTGATAGAGCTAACAGTTTGCATACATTTCTATCAAGACTGATTAGGAAAAGAGAAAGAAGCACTGGGAAAGCCCCCAGGGGTGTTTTGTGGCCTGGTGGGCAGTGTCGAGGGTCCTGCTCAGCACGCGGGACGCAAGGAAGAGACAGGAAAGACACTTGGGAGGAAGAAATAAACCTGCTGTTCCCACAGCTTTTTTTTTTTTTCTTTCTTTCTTTTTTTTTTTTTTGGAGAGGTTTTCGCTACAGGGCGCGTGCGCTCTCCAGACAGACAGAGACATAGAGACAGAAAGCAAGAAATCACCCCCCAGGGGGGATGGTCACGTCGCAGTTCCTTCTCCTCCATTCTCCTCTCGGGATCTTGGGCACGCACGCACACGTGCCCGGCGTGAGTTTTAAGCCACTGGGTCCGGGACGCGAACCGCGGTCGACTACGTGGGAGTCTAGCGACATAGCCATTACACTAACTGCTGACTCCCCAGCTTTTTTTTCCTTTAGTTTGTCAGAGGGCACATGCACCCTCTGGAGAGAGACGGAGGGAAACAAGAAAGCATCCCCATGACGGATGGCCACACTGCAATTCATTCTCCATTTCTTTCAGGATCCAGCCATCTTAACCATGCCACTGGCTGGCCCCCTCCCCCCCCCCCCCCGCTTCTTTTTAATGTAAATAGTCAAGGATCTATAGAAGAAGTGTCAGAATTAATAAATTCACCACGATCATTAGATACGAGGGTTACACACAATTGGGAATGGAATTCTGATGGGCCAGCACGGTGGTGGGGCATGGCACCGCTGAGTGACACTGGCCCATCCAGAGGGTGGTGGGCTTATTGCCCTGCAGACCTGTGCATGTCAGCTGTGCACCCAGGCTCCTGGCGGGTTGGGAGGGGTGCCGGGTTAGACCCTGTTGAGAGTGCTTCTCTCATGAAAGAAATTTTTTTGAGAAGGCGTCATGAATAGAAACATCAAAATATGTCAGTTAATTAGGAATAAACATAGGATATACAGAATCTCTACACAGAGAAACGTGTTTCCGAAAGGCATGAGACTTGGGTGGGAGGGGCTATAAGCGGAGTCCTGAGTGTCCGAAAGGTCATTTCTCTCTCTCTCTCCCCCCATTCTCTCCTTCCCCCCCTCCTGCCTCCATCCCATCCTGTAGGGCAGTTCCCGATTGACCTGCTTCACTTGGAGGCTGAGATGAAGGTTGGTGATGTCCGTGAGCAAGTCTGGGTTGGGGGACCATGTGAGCATGGTCATTCATTGTGGGCAAGCCACGAAGCCATTCAAGCCCCAGCAAGTGCTCAGAGCATTCATTATCCCTGGCCCTATCTTGCGGAAACTTCCAAAAGCTCACCAAAAACTTCCAGAAGCTCCCGGTTCCTTGCCGTGGCCTGGGAAGGCTGAGAGTCCTCCCCTATGGTTTGCGGGCGTCAATTTCCTGCCTACCTTCCCTGTCCAGCCATGAGTGCGGGCCTTCTCAGGCAGGTGTTTCTGTCCACAGGGGGAGAAGGGAGAACGAGGGGACACTGGACAGAAAGGGGAAAGGGGGGAGCCTGGTGGCGGTGGCTTCTTCAGCTCAAGTGTGCCTGGCCCCCCTGGCCCTCCAGGCCCCCCGGGCTACCCTGGGATTCCGGTAAGTCTGACCCCAGGGCTGGCCTGTAGGCAGCCCAGTTGTGAGCAGAGCTGTGTCCAGGGTAGGGGATGTGGGTTGGAGGGAGGGAGCCTGCATATAGGAATCAAGGCTATGCTCTGCAACCTCAGCTGCCTGGGCAGCCTCCTTTTTCTCTTTGCCACTGTGTGGGACACACAGCAGGCCCTCCAGGGCATACTGATCCGGAACACCCTACCCAGCTGGCTTCGGCCTGCTCTCTGCAGTGTTGTGTTCATCCACCCTGTGCCTGGTCTCTGGAAAGGACTTTGGGTCCAGAACCTCATCTGTCCCCAAAACTCCAAGGGCCATGGGCCCCAGCATCTGTCCAAGGTCCCCAGGGACCTCTGGGCTGTTCAGTCTATACTCTGGGATGGCATTCCCAGCAAACGGTGACTGCTGGCCACAGGGGTTCACAGCATGTGAAGCCCTGGCTCAGACTTCTCGTCCCCAACCTGGGGTCTAGGCCACGATGGAGTATGTTTTGTTGCTGTCCCTAGGGTCCCAAGGGAGAGAGCATCCGAGGTCAGCCCGGCCCACCTGGACCTCAGGGACCCCCTGGCATTGGTTATGAGGGACGCCAGGGCCCTCCTGGGCCCCCCGGCCCTCCAGGACCCCCTTCGTTTCCTGGCCCTCACAGACAGAGTAAGTGAAGCAAGGAGTAGCCCTGGGTAGATGCTGGCCCACCTGTGGTCCCCGTGTGGCCGCATGTTCCACTATGGTTTCTATCTTGCAGCCATCAGTGTCCCTGGGCCTCCAGGCCCTCCTGGCCCTCCAGGGCCTCCTGGAGCCATGGGCGCCTCCTCAGGGGTAAGTATTGGGTGGCTAGGCTCCTCCCCTCAGCCTCAGGCAGCTCTGCAGCCCCACCTATCTGGCTCTCCCTACCCCAACCCCCTAGAGAGCCAGAGTGGGGCTTCTTCTGCCGACCCTCGACCCTCGGGATTCAGGGCTGAGCCAGCCCTGTCCCCTTGGGCAAGTGCCCAGGAAGCCCTGAAATGCAGTTTCCAGAGTCAAAATGGTGGCTGGGAGGACCAGGATGGACTCCCCATGGCCACTGCGTGGAGGTGGCTGAGGGGCTGGCGTCCCACAGAGCCCATAGGGGACATGGATATTTCACCCTGAGCCTGCCTCCCCATGTCCTGGGATAGCCTCTTCCAGGTGGCAGGACAGAGCCACCCACGTCCTAGCAACTAAGCAGATGTATCCCACAGCAGGTTGTCCGTGTCCAGCTGCCTCCCCGCCTGCTCTCCCTACCCATAATCTCTTGAGTTGCCACCCCTGCCCCCCCTCCCTGCTTCTGGCTCCCTGCATCCCGACCTCCCTCCCTCTATCCACTGAGACCTGGATGCTGCCTGTGGGTTTGGGTTCCAGCAGGTGAGGATCTGGGCCTCGTACCAGGCCATGCTGGGCAAGGTGCATGAGGTGCCTGAGGGCTGGCTGCTCTTCGTGGCAGAGAGGGAGGAGCTCTTTGTCCGTGTCCGGAATGGATTCCGGAAGGTCCTGGTGAGTTCTCTGGGCGGCACTCTCCATGCACTTGTGAACGTGTGGGTGGGTAGGATATGGAGGTGCCAGGCAGAGCTGCAGGATGACAGAGACCTTTGACCCTGGGCAGATACCCCACCCTCCACTGCCCCACAGCAAGGTCAAGATGAAGAATCAACAATGCTTCCAAACTCTTTTATAATTTGCTAGAGAGTACATGTACCCACCAGAGAGAATAAAAGCATGTGCATGAGATAAAGTCCCCCTGCCGTGGGGGATGTCCATGCTGAAATACCTTTTCCGTTCTCCCTTTGAAATTCTGTATGTGCCCATGTCTCATACTGCCAAGTCCAGGACTCAAACTGTGTAGTGAGCCATGTGAAATCCAGCCACGTTAACCACTGACCACTGAGTGGCCCCAGCAGTGCTTCTCATACTTTTATCTTTAAACTTTTCCCCTTAAGTAGTAAGCTATATTTTTGAGCAGTTTGAGGTTTGAAGTGATACTCTACACCTGTAAGGTAAACAAAGTGTTGCCCCTGTGGGGATCTGCTGCTAGGCCCCAGGCGGTCAGGTTGTAAGTGCTTACAGACAGGTGGCACACGCAGAAGTTGTGCACACTCTCTCCTGTTAGGGAGACGAGGCTGGCTAATAAGGATGGACATCAGGCCCATCTCAAGTCTGTAGAGAGCTGTGTGATACTGTAGCATGGCCCTAGACTGTGTGGAAGCTGACTGCCTTTCTGCACAGTGTGTCGTAAACACGACTGGGATGAAATGGGTACCCTCGAGGAGCCTTGACTACATGTGGCTGCTGGACACTGGGTCCTTGGCACACCAGGGGTTGCTCGACTGCTGAGGATGAGGTTAGCTCTGGTGTCTGCTCTCTTGGAACCTCAGAACCAGCCAGGGCTGCAGTCTGAGCTGGACACAGCCTTCTTTGTGTGCCAAATGTGAGGATGGGTGGAGGCCAGCCCTCTGCCCCGAAGCAGCCCATTCTGTCCAGGGACCTCCTTTGGCACCGAGGACTTAGAGTTGATCTGTGCATCACTGCAGCCCCTGAACTCTTTAGAACCCCTCCTGCCTTCCCATTACGGCCCCATGGCTGAGCTCAGACCCTGTGGTGCCCTTTGCAGATGGGAAGAGGCTACAGGTGCCCACTGGGTACCAGGCACTATCGTAAGCGCTGGGATGTAGCCATAGTCCTGACTTCGAGGAGTCTGTTCCAGCCTCGAGGGCAGACACCAGTGAGGCCCATGATACACGTGCAGGAGGGCAAGGGTGGCAGGTGGCAGGGCCATCCTGGGCCATTTTGGTGTGGCCAGGCAGAGGCTGCAGGAATAATCCTTGCCTTTTTTTTTTCCAGCTGGAGGACCGAACACCACTTCCAGGTGGGATGGTAAGGAGCTGCTTCTTCACACAACCATTAGGGACTTGGGGGGTGAGGACACCCAGGACATGAGGGAACCCACATATTCATGTTCCTAGAGCAATACTGGGTGCTCAGGAGCTGGACCCCCGTGTGTGACTTGTAGACAGAGAGATGGACAGGTGGGCAGGCAGGTAGGCAGGTGGGTGGGTAGGCAGGTAGAAGTACTCTCCCTAAGTGTGGCCGCTACTGTGGCCCTCCCCCTTGAGCAGGAGCTATGGCTTTCTTAGTGGCTCAGGAATGAGGACTTAAGTAGCATGTGTCAAGCTCCTTGTGAACCTGTCTAGTTACAGGGTTCACCCGTCTGTTTTCTCACCCATTCATTCAGTCAGCAAGTGGGCACAGGCCCCTCCCATGCTGGGTGCTGTATTAGACACTAGGCCTACCAGACTGCCCCTTCCCCAAGGACCTGGCCTGTATGGCGAACAGTGGTAGACACCCTGGGCAGGGGAATTACCTGCTGTGCCAGCTGTTCAGTGTGGGGACAAAAGTGCAAAATCGGGACTGTGGAGCTAGGGGTAGCTCACACAGTGACTTTGAACATATGCTGGGCCTCTGAGGGAGTCTGGAGTGCAGGGGGCTGGGATCAAGGTCTGGCAGCAGCATGGTGGCAGGGTCAGGACACATCAGTGAGAACTGCAATTTCTGAGAGCCATGGAGCCCAGGGTGGCTGAGCAGAGGGCATGCCACCAACTCAGGTCTTAGGCTGACAGGACTCCCCATACTTGCTCTACACTGCACAATCCAGGGCACCCCCAGTCACGAAGTCTAGCCTTCTGCCATCCAAGAGCTCAGAGGAGAGCCTGTCCCAAGCAGGCAGCCTGGAGTCATGGGCATGACTGCCATGGCACTGCCTCCC